ATGTTTCATTGTATTTATAAGCACCCCCGGCTTAACTCGCTGTAACTTATTTATTAATTTTAATGGCCGTATTTTTTTTTTTTTATCTCTGTAAATAGTAATTATTAGCTGGTGAAATGAAACTTGATAGGAAGTGGGTAAAACCGGAAAACATAATTACCTTCTAAGTATCCGACTAAGGGGTGTCCACTGAAAAACTGAAAAAAGAAAAAAATCACCCGTAAACGGCTTAAATAGATTTCGCACCGTTGCGATTGGCTGTTGGTCAATCTCCAATTAAATGTGTAATAACGGGGTATATTTATAGAAGTCAGTGTCTACAAGCATTTTTAGAGGGTGTTTCAGAGTCTGATCAGCTCTGAGGGGGTCGATTTGGTGAGGTCAGTATGATGTTTGAAAGACCCGAAACTGGCCGATGATCCATCTCAAGAACATCACTGACGACGCCCTCTACCGCTAAAAGAGCGTATATTCAAAGCATTTGTTGCATTTACTTGCACGAGTTTTGGAATAATTTTCATATATTTTAGTTACGTTTAATAATTTACGCTATTCTATTCACTTCCATATCCCTTCGGTCATATCCCCAAAATCTGCAATATTATCAGTCACAATCTGGCATCTCAGTTTCGATCATCTTCCAACTGCCATAATGTAGCTTCTCTTCGCCTTTTGTATAAATATTTCAATGCCAATTGTTCTGATACTCTTTTGCCTTTGGTACAGTGATTTCATGAATTTAAGCGTAGTACTAAATTGTCATGTCATATAGGTTTCGTTATTTTATGTTGAAATTATTGAATGTAACCGTAAATTCTATTCTAATAGTTTCTTATCACGCAGTTTTCAGCTATGGTAATCCCTTCGAGGTTTTGACTTACCTTTCAACCAGACAGGGGCTACAAATTTTGAAAAGTGGTCCCTATGAGCTACAGTACTAAAGCATGTTAATTTTTCATTAAAGATATCGTAGCTATTTTCCCAACAAATGAACATGTCCATCAGCATCTGCTTTCGAAAGGCGGAAAATTCGATTTTTTCCTTTGACGTAAAGATTTCCTCCATAATTAAAAAACAACACTGAAGTCTTGATATAATATTTTCACTGGTGACAGAGTGATTAACACACGCTACTGCCTGTGATTTGTTTCTAAGTCATTCATTTAAGTATACAGATATGTTTCTAGAAGAAAAATAATTATCATTGACGTTCCCTCGTTCTGAAGAAAAGGTGTCTACACGTATGGTCTTCCTTAGTGAATGTTTTAAAAATGCTGACAACGTCAAGGAAAACTTAAAACAGTCCTTAAAGGAAAACTTAAAACATTCAACAAACATTGTACTTGATCACTGTTTAATTATGTGGCTATGCATGAGGGAATATGTGTTTGAACAGGTGAGAACGAAAAGAAACAAACAGCATTTTAATAAACGTTATTTTCTTCATGAAATTAGGCAACCCAGTTGAAAAGACAGTCAAGTCGCATATGGCTCGCAGGTCGTTCTTTGCCCATGGCTGCTTTAAATTATGATCTATAAAATTTTAAATGCAACATCACTTGTCATCTTCAGTGAAATGCATTGAAAATAAATTAAATATTGAGATCTCTTCATGGATCTATCTTTTTAATATTTTATATTAAAAAGACCTATATGGATTATCCTTACTACATGAATTTGATATTGTGATATATATATATATATATATATATATATATATATATATAGATATATTAAGCATTACGCCCCAAGCAAGGCGTGAAGCCACTAGGATGCAGGGGGTTGCGGAAGATTTGGAGTGAGAGCAGATAGGAGTGATAGAAGAAAGGATGAGGAGAAGGATAGTGGGTAGATCAAGGTAACTGGAGGTGTCGATTGACATTACATTTGAATAGCTGGAGATTATAGCTTTCAGGGAAACAGTAATTGGGAAGGGTGTTCCACAGGCGAGAGGTGCGAGGTATGAAGCTATTGGAGTAGAAGAGACGGCTACATTTAAAAATTTCTATAGTGTAAGGGTGGGAGCGCGATGCCAGCCTCGTAGGGCGCTTGAATTCATGGAGTCTGGGACCCAGTGAAAGCAGCTCATCGGAGCAATTACCATGGAAGTATTTGCAGAAAAGACAGAAAGAGGCGACGTCGCGTCTGTGAGAGAGTGACTGCAAGCAAGACGCTAGATCAGGGCCAATTAGATTACATATCAGTCTCTGGATCTTGTCAAGAACTCCGAGGTAAGCACAAGGTGCTCCAGCCCATATATGGCAGCAATACTCCATGCGAATGGTTTTTTTTGTATATTTGAAGTATCGATTAAGGGGAGAAATATTTCCTGGCGCGGCACAGAGAGCCAACTTTCCTCGCGGTGGAAGAAGCAATTGACTCAATGTACTTGTTCCATCTCAGATCAGCAGTCAGCGTGAGACCGAGCAGACGCAGGGAGTTGCTCTCAGGAAGTTGACTATCAGACATTTTAATGGGGGGCAGGGAAGGATCTCTATGGTGGTTAATGGAGAGTAATTTAGTTTTTGAGTCGTTAAAGTTGACCAGCCAATTCTTTTAGTTAATATATATATATATATATATATATATATATATATATATATATATATATATATATATATATATGCTCATTTCATTCAACACGACAGACAAGGTGCTTTTATTTATATTTTTATACAATTTTATACAATTTCTCATGCGATCTAATTATTTTTTTCTCTTCAGATGATAAATTATATAAAAACTAATCGAATGTTCTTTTTATCCCAGCGCTTTCGGCTATACATTTAGCCATTTTCAAGAATTAAATATTTTAACTGTTAAATAAGAAATAGTTTGTTTCATGTATGTTTTATAAATGTTTTCATTTTTCAAAACACGGTCAAGATATTATGTCCATGTTCATAGTCAATATTATTAAGGGTTTTTTTTTGTTTTTATTAATAAGGCTTCCATTATTTTTAGCCTTTTTTTACATGTAAATGATTATATTAGTGTTGTCAACAAGTATGTTATGAATGAATTTTTAATTGAGAAAGATTGAATAGGGAAAATATTATTTACAAATTTAAATGCACTTAAGAAATTGTATTCCTGACCAATCAAAATTCGTAAATAATTATATAGGCCACGCTAAAACATGTTTGACACACTGTACACCTTTCTGACCATAGCTCAATTAGAACTCATTTAAGTATTCATGGAGACCTACCGGACATTATTCAAAAATACACACACACACATATATATATATATAGTCATCCACAGACATTGTTCCGCTGTATCACAGCTCCTCTGTGTGGCTACATCGAAACCCGACAGATTTGACATCACTCAGATATCTTACCTCTAGGTCATCGCCGCACGGCAGGTAATTTTAACGTCTTTCTCTATACGAAATACGATAGCGGATCGGAGAACTCAATTTATACTTGAAGAGTAATGGTTAATACCAGTAGGAGCCGCTGTTTTTAAAAACCCCTTTCCGTGGAGAGCTCATGCGTGTTTCAGGAAGCATATATATATATATATATATATATATATATATGTGTGTGTGTGTCCATTACATATAGATTATTTTAGCTCTATACCTAACCAAAAAAAGATGATTATTATCCAATGTGAGTAAGTTAAAATGCTCGTTATGTCAGGATATGGGGATTAATATTATATATATGGATCCTGTCTATGAATATACAATCTGAATGAATGGCCTCTATGTCGAGTACTGCATTGCAGTCGTTACGAGTGGTCACTGTTCGCATAATGCATTAAGGCTATGCTATTATATTTTGATTAGTCTAGTTTCATTAGCGATAATCCATTTTTTATTTATCAAAACAGACATATACTAACTTGCTAGAAGCAGGCCTTCGTTGAAGTACCGAATTACTTGAGAAGACGACGAAGCACTTGAAAATTGAAACCTTACATCTTATTAGCGACCATATAGTGAATTATGATTTTCAAAGACAGCCAACGAGGAACCCGTTCAATTGGTTGAATTATTTATATACAGAGCGCAACTGATAATCGAACTCCAGATATCGTACCTTTCATAATACTTTCTTGGGGAATCACAGCTGAAACATTTGATGACAGAAAGAACATTATCATATAGGCATTTGCTCGACTCCGTCCGGTTTCGTTTGGTTTGGTGAAGGGCATATCAACATCTTCCCGGTTATTTTTATGCTGGATACGATAGATAGAGAGACATAGGTTTCATTAAAGTTTTTTTTTTATTTTTTTTTTTTTAGTCAGGAAACCTCGACGTAGGTTTGGTTTTATATATATATATATATATATATATATATATATATATATATATGTGTGTGTGTGTGTGTGTGTGTGTGTGTGTGTGCGCGTGTCTGTGTATAAAGGTTAATGGTCAGAGTTGAATCAGACCAGGGAACAGTAATATCAAAAAGTGCTCAATACACGTGAGAGAAAAATATAATTAAACATAAAAATAAGATGTAGAGCTTTTAAGTTTAACAATCATGAGGTCAATTAAAATACGCGACCAGGTCGAAACCGTGGTCGTGTTTTTTAATGAACCTCATGTTCTCTAAACTATATATATATATATATGTGTGTGTGTGTGTGTGTGTGTATTGAATAAATTTTAAGGCAAAATGAAAAATGTTATGTGTGAGGCGATTCACCCGTTTGGACTTCATCATACTGGGTTTCTTCACGTTGTTATGACAACCCATGCGCATGAACGAGAGATGCTGGTAGTTTCAACATTTTGAAACATTTTTTTAAATAACATTCTTCTTTTTCAACTTTTTAGTTTGGACGATTAAAAAATAATGATTTAGCGAAAGAAGTCTAAGCAATTAACCCATAGGTCGAGGGAGAAGATGTGTATATATACATTTTCGAAGGCTGTTTGCGAGTAAGTGAATATAATCAACCCAACAGGAATTGGAACTCAGCTCTCCGATTAAGAATTCCGAGCCAGTGATCATTACAGCACCCGCACATCCATACTCACAGCAACTGGTATTCACAAATCGTCAACCCGTTTCGGTACTGAACAGGCTCGACGTTGCTTAACTTCTGTAATCATACGGGAACTGGTGTTTCAACTTGATGTGGCCGTAAGCGCTAAACGAAGTTAAAGTCAATAATTTGTTGGTCTGGTGAGATTAAAATTTCTTTTCTGTTTGCGACATGATTAAGAACGATCGAGATCTAGAAAGCATCGATAAACAAAAGGGAAAGAAATGGGAAAATAGAATAAAGAAAGAGACATGTAATAGAAAAAATCCATGTAAAGGAAACTTTATGATCAGAGAAGAACATCAGACTCCTACATTTCCGAAAAATTTAGTAGTAGTCTGTGAAGAGTGAAGACTAGAAATCGTCTCTTTCTATATGAGATGAGGTATTAAATATACTATTTACATTATTCGGAATATTGTCCTCGTCTTTGTTGCCATATTTATCATAACGTTTCGGTCGTTGTACACTCCGGCCTTCTTCAGGTGGTTGGAATGTCGAACTGAACCCTTTATTTTGCTTGCTGGGTTAGACTCTTCTAGTTTCACGTGCCATGTCTAATGGATATCAGTTATCTCCTCTCAATTCACCTCTCCATGTTTTCCACTGCCTTAAACAGGTATTGAACTCACAACACTTTGGGTCCTGTCACTGGATCTAACCAACGCCGTTATCCACTGTGCCACGTGTCCTTATGGCAACAATAGATTAGGAAATAGCCCGAATAATGTAAATAGCGTAGAAATCGTCTCCCTTAGAGACAAGAGTGCAGCATATAATCGCCTATAGACAAGACTACAGACGTTACCCATATTTAGTTTTTAAATATACTGCATTGGAACATGATGCAAATTTCATTATGTTATAACTGAAGATGTATTTGCATATACGGAATAAACGTCACAGAGGAATTACGTACATTAGAAGGCGATCAAAATAATAATGGCGCCAAGAAATTTCTTTTGAACCGCCATATTATTTTAAATCAGCATTACCCCATGCAAGGCAGTAAGGCCACTAAGATACAAGGGGTTACAGCCTATGGAAGAATTAGGAGAGATTCATAAATAGCGGGAAGCGGAAAAACTAATCAGTAGAACAGCAGATAGAGACTATATTGCATTCAACTATTTGCAGATTAAAGATGGCCGGAAAGCATGGGACCGAAAAGAAATTCTACAAGGGAGAGGTTGTTATGGGAACTTACCCATAATAATAATGGACTATTCCTAACATTATAAATACTGCGCCTCTCAAGAGGTATGAGGAGATTGTAAGACGAGGAGAGATAATTGAGAGCATATTGTAAGGATATTGGAATAGTGATACTTGTCGAGACAACATAGTTCACTCTAACCAAATCTGATAGTCATTACTAATACTTCTACTTCTTTTTATTATATATCTGTTGTAATATATCTTTGTATTCCATACCTGAGTTGGTATTATTCTTTTATTGGTTCTAACCTTGGACCATCACCGTGGTACAAGGAACTTGGACCATAACAGAAATGAGAGAGAAAATAAATTGTTAGCATAGAATTGCGGTTATTTCTAGCCAATTCAACTGTAAATTGACTCAAGAAGGCGATATGAGCCACTTTCCTTAAGGTTAGCATCAGCGATGCTGATGGAAGGCATAGAGGGGTCTCTCAGATGATTAATGCAGAGAGGTTTATTTTTAGAGGCGTTAAAATTATCAAGCCATCTTTTGCACCAGTTAACGATGGACCTGAGATTGTTTTCGACACCGGCTGCCAATTTGACCTTGACGGACTGATCAGCCTTAAAATCGCTGCAGGTGTAATTGTGAACATTTTTAAAGAGTAAAATTGGCTGGAAAGCATGGAGCCGTAAAGGCATTTCACAAGTAAGAAGTGCGAAAGAAAAGAAACTGTTAGCATAGAACTTACAGTTACATCTGGACAATTCAACTGTAAATTGATGAGATCTCGACGCTAGTCTGGTACTGCACTTAAATCCAAACATCCAGGTACCATAGCGAATAACTCAACTAAACAATTACCATGAAAGTATTTATAGAAGAGTCTCAGAGATGAAACCTTACGATGGTTGGAAAGTTACTGAAACCGAGCCGCCAGATCAGAACCAATAATATGGCTGATTCTTCTTTGGATTTTATCAAGGACCTTAAGTTAAGTATCAGGACCACCTCACCCTATGTGGCAGGAATATTCTAAGCATGGACGAATGGTAGACATATATATATATATATATATATATAAGATATATTCTGGAGAGAGAAATTGTTTCGCACGACGCAGTGAACCAACATTCTTAGAAGCTGACCTGGAATCAATATAGTCTTCCTACTTCATGTCAGCCGAGAACGTTAACCCGAGAAGGCGCACTGAGTCACTCTATTGGAGGTTAGCATCAGCCATGCTGATGGAAGGCAGCGAAGGGTCTCTTAGATGATTAATGGAGAGATGTTTAGTTTTTAAGACGTAAAAACTAACCAGCCATCTTTTGTCCCAGTTAACGACGGACTTGAGGCTGTTTTGAACAGTGCCATTTCGATTCCAGTGTAATCCGTTCTGACATCAGCATAGATGCTAAGATGAGAGCCAATGTCATCGTGAAGCCCTTTAATGAAAAGCAAAATCAGGTTAGGACCAAAGATGGGGCGTTAGTACGAAGCGATCTAGACAAGTGGCCTTCAGGATAACCTCCATTTCCCGATTTGGTAGGAAAGAATGGATCAGTTCAAGAATGATTATAGAATGAACGTATTTGTTCATGCCTCATTTGTTATTACTCTGTAGGAAGTGCGCATGCAATGAACGCATAAAACGCGTAAAGATAATTCACATTTGTTATAGAGTATTTTCGAATTCAATAAAGACGTGTAATAAGATTCCTGTGTTTAATGTATCAAAGACAATGTAAATTGATCCCTCTGGCCATTACCACAAATTATACTCTAATTAACATTCTAATTTAGTTTGGTGAGATGAGTTGGGAATACGGTGAAAATCTATAGCAGGCCCAATAAATATGAATATATAATGGTTTAAAATATTTTTGGTTTTTTGTTGAATAAATCAAAAGGTTTTTACTTGTAAAAATATATTTTATAAATGCAATGTCTCTTCATGCCTCTCTTCATTATTGTCTCCAGGTTGCCAAAAAAAGATAGCAGTGTGAATTTCCATTGTCTTCTTCAAGGTTTTGAATTCATAGGAGCATATTCTGCTATTTAACTTATAGTTAGAAGTAAAAGAAGATCTGGTTAGTGCCTTTCCCGTGGGCAATTGTGCAAAAGACATCGTATAAGACTTGGTCAAAATTTAAAACTATACATATATATCATGTATTAATTAAGATAGTGAAGTCAATGAGCCGAGTTTATATATATATATATATATATATATATATATATATATATATATATATATATATATATATATATATATATATCGAGCATACTGAGTCACTGGCGTGTTTATTCAAAATGAATACCTAAAGATTAACCTTCCTCTATGCCGGAGCTGATAACTTAGTGGAAAAAATCACCGATTGCTGCCAAATCAGTCTGGGTTCAGTCCTGGCTTGAGGCAATCGGATGATGAGCTGTGATACAGCGAAACAGTCACTCTGTGGACGACAATATATATATATATATATATATATATATATATATATATATATTTAGTTTATGCAAAACTAGGTAATCCGTACGGGTAGATCCAAGGGGGATGATATCCGGAGAGTTCAATGTAAATTCAGAGCAAATATGTTTGAAGAAAAACTGATCACTTTAAGGTTCCATGTAATAAATTATTTCACCACAGCCTTTTTAAAGGGCTCTGGATCATCAGACTTTACTTCCAATGGTTGAAATGAAAAATGAAAAGAAATTTACACATTTTGCTTAGTACGGCCCGTCAAAAATGTGTAAATTTCTTTTCATTTTTCATTTCAACCTTTGGAAGTAAAGTCTGATGATCCAGAGTCCTTTAAGATAGCTGTGGTGAAATAATTTATTATATGTGGAACCTTACAGTGGTCTGTTTTTATTCAATATATATATATATATATATATATATATATATATATATATATATATGATTGTGTGTTCCGGCATCAATACCTCTGTTATACCAGTTTCATTGAAGACGAATGACTAGGCACTGCGTTTAATCTTTTTTATATTTTTCATGCATTCTTAAAAGTTACAGCATATCGTCATTCAAAGATGTTTAATTGAACAATATAGACATTTTATGTCTATTCATCTATAAATTAATAATCTTCTCCTAATAAAACTGATCAATGCTTATTCGAGAACTGGAAAGGATCACTGTACAAATAAATAGATAAAAATATCGATATCAGTCACAGAAACAGTTATACGCTTTATTGTTATATTTAGTCCTTATATTTTAATTCAAAATTCAAAATCGCCACCCTTTGCTTTCATCATAGTCCTTAATTTCTTCTCAACTGAAGTGCATGACTTCTTCACCACCACTTTGCTCAAATTTGACTACAACGTCATTAGTGTTTCTTTCATGACACACGAGTATGTGATACGTGAAACATCGTTCTCCAGTATCTGCCATTTTTTATAAAGTCCATAAAATTATTGCCATGAATTGATTGAGGCGAAATTAACGTGTCGAACATCAACTGAAATGATCTTTGCAGAACTTCTTCATTAAATTACTTGGGTGTCCGATAGCGCATTCTTATGTGAAGCCACGGCGACTTTCAAATGTGGCTAACAATTAACACGTCTCTCCCCAACATTTCTTGATAAACTCTGCTATTGTCGTCCAGTAAATTCTTCAATGAACACCGAAGGTCATTTTTAACCACCAGAAGCAGCAGCAGTTCAAAGCATGAGATCAGTAGGTTTCTGCTGATTTAAATGTGTTCTGACACTTTCGAGAATGTGACGCAAACCGTATCGATTTATTAGTTGACCACAGACTCCACATTGAAAAAAACTTCTTTAACTTCTTCAAAATTTCCTCACCTCTGCCAAGCCGTATTCACTGGGACTGGAATTACTCAACAACAGACATTTTTATTTAGTTTACGTAGTCTGGAATTTAACAAGCACAGAAAAGTATAAA